AAAAAAAAAAGTGGTAAGTTAGATATAGTGGCCAAATGGGTCAAAAATACTCTGGAAAACAGTTGCTAAAGATAAATTGAAAGACAAGAGTTCTTTAAATCTTCAGTAAATCATACCCTATATAACTCACCCCTATAATTCTCAAGAGGTTCTGGACAGTGGGACATTATTCATGCGCACATAACTTAGATGAAGTTACTGCAAAGGGTCCCACACATCCAGTCATATATTCATCCATGACTTCATCCATGACTATATTCACTTAAAATTTCTCAGAAATCTTTCTATTGAGGAAAGCAGGATTCAACAACTATATCTCTATTTATTTTAAAGCATTTTTTAATGTTCCAAACAAAAACAAAGCATTATTCAAACCCAAGCTATTAGAGCATCATCCTTAAGTGCTGTTTGGCCACTCTACCTATTATTCTTTCAACAGAAACAAAACAGAGATCCTATTATCAAATTTGAATGCTAATACATTTCCAGGATAATGTGAATAACAAACAAATAGAGTCTTACAATACCATCTCAAATGCATTTAGAAAACTGTTAGGAGAGCAAAAAGTCCATAAAGTAAGGCACAAGGGTAGGCAACAAGAAGTTGCTGTCCTTCCATGTCCAAGGCTGAAATAAAGATTTTGGAAGCAGAGAGACTACACCAGGCAATGATGACCAGCGCTGACATAGTGCCAAAGGTGCCCCTATAACAAAGACAACAGAGATGATTACCCTACACAAGGAGAAAAAGAGATTATTCAATCAGTCTTGCCTTAGTTATGTCCTTAGTACAATATTTATAACTGCTTTCTCTAATAAAATGTGACTGAGAAACCATATGGAATTGAAGACCAGACAGAAAAGTTTTGTGTAAAATTCACCGTTAGAGATAAAACATTTTATACTTAAATACAACACAAATGAATAGAAACAAAGGAATTCGTCTGTTGTTACTATCATGTATCAATATTCAAGCCACAACTTCTGAAATCCTTTTATACAAATAATGCTAGAAACTCCTGTTACAGCTACAGAATTCCTTCAAACCTCTCTTCTCACCAATTTATTCCTAAATTTGTCCATCATGTGAACAGAGATATAATTGGATTTGCATTTTAGTAGCACATCTAGTCCCCACTGATCTCCAGTCCACTCCTTAGGTGAAACAGGAAGGAATGAAGTGTTTGTGTGGCCTTCCACCTCATCTCTGATTATCCCTTTCATATCCATATATGGATTCCCTTTATATTTGTATGTCCAAACATTTGAGAATATTGAAAGAATTTTTTTCAAATTAATATCTTCAAAAATAATTGTAGAGGCAATTAGTGCTTAAGAAAAAATAGACAAATAAGGGTAAATCTGCTTACCTTGGGAATTAAAAAAAATGAAGCTTGTATGATAAAGAGTGACAAACAGAACATATCATTTAAGATAATAAGACATAGGATATAGATGAGATCAGGAGACATCTCCAACTTTAAAGCAAGTAAGCAACAACATCAACCAAATTAAAGAGGACATTGTCAAAACTTCCTAATTCCTATTATTTGATTTTTCATCACTACTGCTACACTACCTCACATGAGAAGGTAGACTCTGAATCTGAGAACTATATTATTTGTGAGTGTTACAGAAATGTCTACTTTTCACAATTGAGCCAAAGCAAAAGTAAAAACAAAACAAAATAGAACTGCAATGTAGCTTATATGCTTAAAATTATCAATATACCAAAATATTTTAAAGTATCTTAATAAATGTTATATTTATTAGTTTGATTTAGATTAGAGAAATTTCTAGAGTGATATAACGTAAAGATTTTTGTGAACAAATTATAGCCAAAACTGTCCTACTTTCCTGAATTTATGTATAGCTTTTTAATCATTGTTCTTTGATTGCTTTACCACCAAAATGAGGTGAAGAAGTAAACTGTTAACACCTTTGGAGCAAGCCTTAGAGATGATAGTCTGCTAGTGTGGATCAGCAGATAGAGACACTTACTGCAGTGAAAAGAAGATGGCACAGCTGGATAGGATGACCATGGGCAGCAAACAATAACCCAATACACTCGCCACGCAGCCATAGGACACCCCTGAAGAGCTCATCAAATTTAGTAAGGTGTGAATCCCCAAGCAGCCAATGGCACTCATGCCATACACGTAACCAAACTGGATTTTTCCTCCCTGAAACCATGAGGAAAAACAGATTACACAACAAACAGCAAGAGAAAGTTGGAATATCAACAGGAGAGAACATTTTAGAATCAATCAGCTCAGTGCTGTACCCAATCTTTGCAGTATAATCACAAGAAGACTGGGAATTCTGGATAAAACAATGCTCTAATGTGAATTCAGGTCCTGAAAACCAAAAATGAAACCAATTATTCTTTGAATGTCACAGCATGACACAGAAAAGACAAAAGTTTTTAGCCTTACACTTTTTATCATAAATTATCTAATAGGGACACAAAGCATAAGAATACATTTTCTCTTTCTCATAATAGTAAAAATGACCCACCATATGATCCAGCAATTCTGTTCTTTAGGTGCCTAAGGAATGCAAAAACACTAATTTAAAGAAATTAGCTATTCACATGTTCATAGCAGATAATTTATGATAGCCAGCTACAGAAACAACATAAATGGTCCAAAACAGATGATTGGATTAAAATTATACACACACACACACACAAAGACACACAATTGAATACTACTCAGTTATAAAAAAAAGATGGATTTTTGCCATTTATAACAACATGAATGAAACTGAAAGGGATTATTCTAGGTGAAATAAATCAGAAGAAAAACAAATACTGGATAACTTCACTTATATGTGGAACATAGAAAACATAAAAGAAAAAAGAAGAAGCAAATGAAACCAACCTAAGCAAACCCTAGAAAAGCAGACTTAGAAAAGGCTAGCAGAATGGGGATAAGTGGAGAGGTAGCAAGAAGGGGCGGGGTCCATAGAAAATGGTGGAGATATTATGGAGGGTAAAGTGGTTGGTGTGGTTGGTAAAATACATGTGAGAGAGGTGAACCTACGATATTAAATTCAGTTTTAATAACAATAATACATTTCCCATAACTGATGAATATTTTAATAAATATATACAATAGTGAAAAATACAATTTAGTCTTAAAGATTTACAAGGCAAATTATCAAAAGTAGTAAACATGTATGATATTTACTACATAAGGTCCTATTCTAAGCTTTTCAAATATACTAGCCTGGTCAATCCATATAACAACTAGGAGATAGGCACCATTGTTATGCCAATTTCACGCATAAGGAAACTGAGGTGCAGAGAAGTAATTGGTCCAAGGTAAAATAATGTTAGGAAACAGAGCTCTACTCTGAAACCTGGCAGTTTGTCTCTAAAATTTAAGTCCTAAACATCTGCAGGAACTTGAAAAAGTCTTAAAATAATAGGATTTATTTAATCCAGGATAAACCAATTTCACCAGAGTCTTTTGTTTTCATTAAGTCTAGTACCAGTTTACCTGAACCCAACTTAGGAAAAGCTAATCTATATTACACAACTTGTAATTAATCATTAAAACAGAGTGTTAGGGTCCGAGAACTCTATTCTTTCGAAAGACAGAGTGTCACACAAGAATAATTCGCAATTCGCAAAGCAGAGTTTATTGGGCTGGCTAGCCAGGGTCAAGCCGTTCCCTGCTGGACACGCAGGACTGAGGGTTTGAGCAAGAGCCCACCAAAGGAATGTCAGGGAATATACAGGCCTTATTGGCCGTTACATACGTCATAGCCCCTGCAAATTCAGAGGCCGTGCAAATTGAGAGCCTGCGCAAATTCAGTTTAGCAAATGGATTCAAAGATTAACAGATGTCACAGCCTGGGTCACAGCTCAACCACCCAAGGACAGGTTTCCAGGAATAGATGTCTCATTTCCTGGTGCCTCAGGTCCAATCAGCCTGGGCCACACCATTCCCATTATCCAATCATTTTAACTGTACATTGTCCCTCTTCAACCTATAGTTTTAAGGGTCAGCATTGTGTGTGCATTTTGCAAGCCGGGGTGGGGGATGGGGGAGTGCTTGCCTGGGCTAGTTTTGCTCAGTCCTGTTTTACGTCTTGTTAAAGAAAGTTCAGGGCACAGTCTGCTGGACTTCTGAAGACTCATAAAACTAACCAGGCACAAGGGAATGGGAGCTGAAATAGCCCCACTAAACATCCAGAGAAAGTCAGAATCTACTATTTATTCAACAGAGGATATTTTAATATTTTCTACCTGAGAATGTGAAAGCTTCAGTAAAGAATGCATTTAGTTTTTATATTTGCATTAAGCTAATCTGAAATCATAGGTGAAATTTAAATAGGTTGTCTTTTTCATGAGAATTACACAAAGCCAACTAAGGATCTGATAAATTGATCTTGAGCTTTTGACTGTAGTTTTTTTTTTTCCAATTTCCCCAATTATTATCCATGAAGTGCTTCTGTCTTAAAGAATAAAGAAATGATTATTTTGTAATTAATTAAGAGCAATGGAGAATGTGGCCACTATTTTAATCTTCTAAATTGTCCAACTATTTTTCATTCTTCTTCCTCTGCAGTTGGGGAGGTTAGTTACTATTTACTTCCTTCACAAAATGTCCATGCGCTATGCTGGCTGAATTGTCTTCTGCATTAACCTTAAGTCCTCACTGAGTAGCTTTGCATTTTTATGACTACTTTGTGAACTAATGCTAACAATGCTAATGGATCTGCAAAAAGAAACACATCAGTCATACAATGCTCTGTTGAGTGAGTTTGCTCTAGTTGGAAAATAGGACAATTTCAAACCACTTAAATCTATTAGAGTAACATTCTGCTTAATATTTTAATTGTCTGGTATAATTCTAAGGGATAGTTGTAATGGTAAAAGGCAACTCCCTTGTACCCAAAGACACACAGCTGGGACTTCCTGACCAATAAGCATTTTTGCAAATGGAGTGGGGTAAATGAAACTAATTTGGTAAAAAAAATCTCCCTTTTTATATTAGTTACTGACTACCTTCTTTATCTCTTTACTTTGTTAGTTTACCCAATTTAAGTAGTAATTCAATTTGGCAGCAACTAACACATTTTAATTTGTTTAAAATTCTAACAAGGGGCTGCAATTAAGATGAAAATAAGTGTTCCTTTTTTTTTTTTAAGATTTTATCTGTGCATACAAAACTGGGGTACAGGCCAGTTCACCGCAGGAGTGGTGAGTGGATTCACCAGAGGCAGAGTGGGGAGCAGAACAGGCCAACTGATGAAGTACACTGCTGAGGGGAGCAGCTGGTGGATCAGGAGAGTTCTGAGGAGCCTTGTGATCACCTCCAGTGGGAGGCCAGGATCAAACTCATGCGGGAGTGGCTTTAGCTTCTTAGTGCTGTGCTTGCTTTAACCCTCTGTTTCACGGGGGGGGGTGGGGGGGGGGGTGGGGTTTGACCTCAATTTTTTAAGAATCTTGTTGTACCACTCTGGTAAACTACATCCCAATTTGAAATACTAATTATTATTCTGACTTATTCTGACTATATGCTTTTATGTTGATCATGCATGTTCCTTTTCCAAATCACTCTTAACAGAAAAAAAAAATAAAGAAATGAACTCATAGCTTAAAGCCACTGTAATTGTTGTTTTCTGGGTAAAAAAGAAAAAACTAATGAGAGGAAATAAAGAAATATCACTAAAAGGTCTGTGCCTTTTTAAGTATAAATCATAAAGGTTATATTTGTATGTGGCTATGACTCATGCTCCATGATAGTGAACATATTTTAATATTGTTGCTCTATTTCATTTTACTTTCTCAAGTACAATGCAGCTCCATGATAGTGAATATATTTTAATATTGTTGCTCTATTTCATTTTACTTTCTCAAGTACAATGCATATACTAACTAGCATACAGGAGCATTATCCTTTATACCCTAATTCTAGATATCCAGAACAGGATTTAGTCAGCTTCAAATGGATTCTGAGTTAAATGTAAGTTCATTAATGCCCAGTTTGTTTTCTTGCTTTGTTTTTCTATATTTTTAAGGAATCAATTCTGAAGTAACAACATCCAATGATATAATTGAAGTGATAAATTAACATTTTCACATATCTACCAAAATTTCAGGACAAGAATCTTCAGAATCACTAAATAAACACTTTTTTTTGGTCTTCAGAATGAAGAAGTGAAGAGTGAAACAATAGATTTAAGATTAGAACTAGAAACAAAGTAGGGGTTAATTCAATTTTTTCATGATTTCTGTTCAATTCTTTGCCTATATTACTGTGTACTCAAAACAAATGAGAGGATATTTAAATAATTCCAACTAACAAACATACCCAAAATATGTATTAATTACTTTCAATGTTTTTCTTTAATGAATTATAGTAGTCTTTTCTGCAGAAGAGTAAATCACTGTTATATTATAAGCCACCTGAAAAATAAAGATGTATTAATATACTAAATTGATTATTTCTATTTGATTAACTGACATGACCTTATTTAGCAACTTAATATAAGATTATCAAATTATTGTAACAATGACAGAAAAGAGATGAAAGACTAAATTAAAACTCTATCTGATATAATATTTAATTTACAAAGTGTATGAATTGCTGTGGTACAAAGAAGCTAGATGTTATCTCTAAATACTATTGTGTTGGATAAATACAGTATAATTTTGACCACATTACCAAGTGGTATGTAATTAATAATGAAAAAATGAAAATGTATTTATTTGTAAATATATCTTATATCTATTATTAAAAATTGTAGCATGTTGGGAACAAACAGTTACTTTATAGGCAGTCAGTAGTTATAAGAGGGGAGGTGGACTAAACAATTATTTTAAATGTTTGTCTGAAAATCTTTAATCTCATGTATCCTTTGCCCTGACAATATTATCTCCTTGTGCTTAATGAAATATAATTTTCAGACTGAATTGACCATCTTCTCATCCTCTGTCTTTAATCCTCTGTTGTAACTCCCTCCTTCATATAAAATCACAAATGACTTTTCTATTTTCTTCCTTTTGATAAAAAAACATTTTTCTAAAATATCTTTTATATGTTTATATCTTTTAAATGTTTAGTTGGAAACATGTCTTTCTTTGCTTTTTTGGTGACCTAATACTCCCAGATTTAAAGAATAAATGAGTCCCCTGTAAAAGATAAAATGCCTCCATAAAAAGGAAAAGAGTAAAAATAATTGAGGAGCCCCCTGGGTTAAGTTCCAGAGTTATGAAGTGTTGGCACTAGGCAACACCACACTGTTAAAGAGACTAGAGACTAGGAGCAGGTTATAAAGTGCAGGATGCTGCTCAAGAGCAAGATCCTGGCCTTTTTATTGGTAAACTAGTCATACAGCTTTAGTCATATGGGGAAGCAGAAAAAGGAGGTGGGGAAGTAGAAGCAGGGGAAGAGTAGAACTATATTTTTCATCTGCTGATAGCTTGGTATGTAGATCAAGCCCTGATTCCCCAGTCAGGATTTCAACCTTATCAATAAAATGTTCCACTGATCAACTTCTGGGGTTCTTTGATCAGTCAACTGCCCTCCAGGCTTCCTGGTCATACCTCCTGAGGTATAAGTCAGGAGTAAATTTATGCATCTATCATCAGCCCTTCATGCATTCCCGGTCATACATTTTGATACATACCCTCCCCAGGGTGATCTAGCTTTATGTTCTTAACTGACTGGAAAATCACTTTATAGGGTTGGGCTCCTATGACCAGGCAGTTCTGACCTTGCTTTAAGAATGTAGAACGGTGGATAATAAAATGGAGGCTGGATAGGCTGCTTAGGATTAGCAGATCCACAAACAGCCACAACAACCTGGATCAATCCTTGGCCAGGGAGCTAACCCACATGGCAGTGCAGACCTCTCCGTCTGGTCTGCTTCTCCCCACAGTAGTGTATTTCAGTAGATCTGTCTGTTCTGTTCACCACTCTGTATCTGATGGATCCTCTAAACACCCACACCTCTTGCCTGTACCCCAGTTCTTGTATGCATAAGTAAATAAATCTTTTTTTAATAGAATAATAAAAATAATTGGGAAACATAGTTCGAATAAATAAATCATAGATTATCATTTATTCTATGAATAAATTAACCTAACTAGATATGAAAGCAATATCACATGTCATTGGATATTAGAAAAATCTGAAGATACATCCCAGCAAAGAAACACAAAAAGAATTTGTCCAATGTTGTTACAGGAATTTTACAAAATATAAGAAATAAAATTTAGGCTTTCCCAAATCCATGTGGTGCTTCAATTTTTCATAAATTACCTCCAGTTTTTCTTGAAAACCTACCTTGATTTTGTTTGAAATTTTATTTAAATTTATAAATAATTAACACTTTATATAGTGACATACTTTCTTCTCTATTTACAAAAGATAGCTTCAAACACAGCATTAGAAAGAACTCAAACTAAAATCTGGCACTAACTGACATTTACCAGAAGCAGGGTGGCTCCCAAGGCAATGCAAAACAGAATGGGTCCTGCGAGGTCAGTTTCATTCATAATGCTGCCATCTGCTGGCTTCATTGGATTTAATACTGTCAAGGTTTTTTGCCATATGTGATCAAAATTAATCCCCAGTTCTGCAAAAGAAAAACAGAGAGAGAGAGAGATAACATAAATATAGAAAATTAAATAAGTAGAATTATTTAATGAAAGGTTATTATAGCTGGTTAATTTATTTTGTATTGTAATCAGTTGTTAGGCCATTATAATCTAGAGTTCTATATAATGTGTAGTAACCTTAAAAAAATAAATTTTGTTCTCAATAAGTTAAAGAAATATTTTAGAGAAATATTTCTATCAGGTGAAAAATTCCCTGCTTTATGCTACAATTAAATAGTTGAAATATAATTCCTAATAGAAAATGGACATTTCACATAAAACATAAAATTACAGCTATGAACTAAAACTCCCATCCTCTTACCCATTGCTTTTTTCCTGTATTTTCCATTAATAGTACTTTTGATGTCTTGTCATATTTTGAGAATACCAAGACTGATTAGTATTATCTAAACTAAATATCCCAGATAGGGAATTTTACTTCTCCCCTCTCCAGTGAAGAAAGCAATTCTATGTTAACTGACTAAAACTCCACAGGGAAGGAAAGGAAGTAAAAGTAATCATGCTGTGCACACATATTTTAATAAGGTCACTGCTCTATGTGTCTGAGTCTGTGTATTCAGTGATTAAATTCTTCAGGCAAGTTAACCTTTCCCTTTTATGAGTGGTGGTGGAGAACAGAATATTCACAATCAATTGGATTAAGTACCAATGAGTCCAAATTCATTTAGAAATTTCTAATTTGTTTTCAATACCTTGTTTTTCAAAGAATGTTTGCCCTCAAAGACCCTTATGCTAAATATTCCATTTCTTACATCTTTTTTAATAATAAATCCTAGTCAGATGACATTCATCTAAGTGTATCTGACTATATTATCTGACTTTCTATATGGCTATAGAAATACAGAAATACTGATGCCATATCAGTTTATTTTCTTACCATTCTTAGGAAGATGAAGCAGAAAATAAAAAAGACATTTCAAAAGAGAAGAACATGGCTCCACTGTAATCAAACTGGTTATCTTTTTCTACAACTTTAAATTTCAGTAACAGTGAAAGAGAAGATAGTAAACACTGGAGTTAATCTATAATAAAGTACCCACATTTCAACTAAAAATATTTAAGTGGGGCCCTCCCTGGTGGTGCAGCGGCTTAAAGCACAGCATTAAGAAGCTAAAGCCACTTCAGCATGAGTTCCATTCCTGCCTGCCCCAGAGGAGATCCACATGAGGAGGCAGACCTCTCCTGACCCGCCCGCTGCTCCCCTCAGCAGTGTGCTTCATCCATCTGCCTGTTCTGCTCCCCACTCTGTCTCTGGTGAATCTTCTCATCCTCCACATCTCTGGCCTGTACCCCAGTTCTGTATGAATAAATAAATAAACCTTTAAAAAAAAACACATACTTTCAAAATGGCTAAGATATTTCTTGGTAGACGTTTCCAGAGGATGTATAAATTGGCAATAGGGCCTAAAAAGGTAGTAAATATCATTAATAAACAGGAAAATACAAATCAAGACTATATTGAGATATGACTTCTTAGCATGAGTTAACCTGTCAGAATGGTTATCATCATGAAAAGATGCATACATACACTTGTGTGCACACAAAATAACATTGTTAGCAAGGATTTCAAGAAAAGGGAAGACTTGTATACTATTGGCAGGACTATAATTTTATGAAGCCACTGAGGAAAAATAAAAATTGAACTACCATATGATCCAGCAATTCTGTTTGTTATAGCATTATTCACAATAACTAATTATGGAGAAAAATCAAGTGCTTATAAAAGAATAAATGAATTAAGGTTTGGTGCATAATAAAAATTGTATATTATTCACTTATCAGAAAGAAGGATATTCTGTCATTTGTAATAACATGGATGGCCTTTGAGGATTTTATGTTCAGCAAACAGAAAGAAAATACTACATGGTATCACTTGCATGTGGCTCATAAGAGATGAAGAAGTTAAGCTCAGAAACAAAGGAATGGAAAAGTAGTTGTTAGGGACTGGGGTGGGGAGGAAGAAAGAGGTTGTGAAAGGGTTGAAAAAAGGAAAACTCACACTTTTATAGCTGTGGTTGAGTCAATATACTTTTAATCTTATCTTTTTTTATTTTACTTAATTGAGCCCAATTCTTCCAAATAAAGGAATGTATCCTTAAATCATTTTCATGTGTCCCAGATGAAGAAACCTAGTGTGGTCAGATACACGATATAGTTCAACTTCTTTTACAGGGGTACATACTATCTAAATACCTTGCAAATATTGACATTCTACCCGTAGAATACCAGATGGGCTTTTAATGAGCCTATGACATGGAACAGCCTTGCTCTAGCAGGGACCTTGACATTTTCAGAAAGTCAGCCAGACATTGTTCTGAGCTAGGATAGAAAGTATATACTTGCATTTAGTTCACATCCAAACTGACAATGAATTGGAATGGCTAAATTAAAAATGAAAAAAAAAATTACAATTTAACTTTCATGTTGCTCCCCTTTTATTTCTAAAATATTTATAAATTTATTAATGAACATATATTTGAAAATTACAAGCAGTTATCCAAGTTTAAAATGGGGTTTGAATGCTTTATGCAATTTTTAAAATAGCTTTAAAATAGTAGGCAATCTTAAAAATTGAAAATGCTATAGTTTACATTAATTTCATTAATGGCTTATAGTTGTTTTCCATCTTGATTTTCCATTTAGACATTTATGTTAGCAATGTTTTCAATATTCACCACCAAAAAGTTAGCTTTTATTCAAAATACCTTTTCCTCAAAAGGAATGACCATTATTCCTGAAGAAGCTCAGATGAAAAATGGTTTGTGAGACATTATTAATGATTTTTATTTAAAAAAAATTTTTTTAAAGATTTATTTATTTATGCTTATAGAACTGAGTTACAGGCCAGAGGTGTGGTGGGTGAGAGGATTCACCAGAGACAGAGTGGGGAACGGAACAGGTGGACCTATGAAGCATGCTGCTAAGGGGAGCAGTGGGCGGGTCAAGAGAGGTCAGCTGCGTCATGTGGGTCAGCTCCCTGGCTAGGGATTGAACTCATGCAGCAGTGGCTTCTGAGAGCTTCATAGTGCAGTGCTGTAACCTGTTGTGCCGTCAGGGAGAGCCCCATTATTAATGATTTAATCCATTTATTTTATAGCATAGCTAACTTCTGCACATTTTGACATTGAGCCATGAAACAGTGAAGAACGTAAGATCTATAAACACTTTCATAAGAAAAAGATCTTATGTTTTCTATCAATACATCCCTCCATAATATTTTGCTTTACAATTTATTACAAAGTATGTAAGTGAGATTATAAGTGTTAATTGTAGATAGTCTAATTTAGCACTTTATTATGGAGATAAGATACAACTGCTATAAAATTTGAATGCAGAATTTATTGTTTTGCTGTCATCTAGTGGCAGTAAAGTATATGAAACAGATGCTCTAAAAATGAGTTAGTACATTTGTGTCCTATGCAAATTGTGGCATTGGCCTTTAAAATATAAGCATCAGACTGTGCCTCAAATACAAATGCCAAATATCACAGTCATTTCTCTGGTCTGAGATATTTGAATAGATCTTTATTTTTCAAGATGTATTTGTTAATATACATATATATGTATAAATATATATATATATATATATATATATTATCACATTATCAACTAGCAGGTTTTCATTCTTACATAAAACCAAATAAGTGTTTAAGGAAAAAACAAGTACATTTTCAATGACATATTTTGTATAAGAGCCATTATTATAGCTTCATAATTTTATAGGCTCCTTTGGTATATGCTCAGTAAAAACTAGCAAATGCCATTTATCATACTTTATCCTAGAAATCCTGTCTATAGCTTTTTCATATCTTCTAGACAGATGAGACTGGAGGCTTTTACAAAGTCACCCAGCCTGAAAAATATACTGGATCAGAGACTGGAATTTCATAGCTGTGAAATACAAAATTATATTAGGTGCACTCTCTTCAAATATACTATACATTTGGCAGGGGGAAAAATTACAAAAAGAAAACAACTACCTGGGTCATAAACTGGGAAGGATATGTATCTACTTCTTATTTAAATTTTGGATAAGGCTGTATTTGAACTTAGAATACCAAAATAGAAGTATTTCAAGTAAGTAAAAGAGAAGAATAAATATTTTCAATAAGTGTTACAGAAAAATCAGTTAATAATTAAAATATAAAGTTACATTCCTATTTTTCATATTAACCTAAAATAATATTTGATGAATAAGAGATTTAAGTGTAAAACAAAAAAAAATTTAAAATTTAATAAACTAAGCCAGAGCTGGAAAAATATATATTCTAAAAGAGCACTTGGAAAGAAGTTACTGAGAGAAATACTGTGGCTTTGAAAGCATGAATACTAAAATTTCTATATGTCCTAAAGTCAATATGTAAATTAGATGGCAAACATAATCCAGGAGGAAAATGTTGAATTACATATTCCGGACAGTAGTTAATATTCTCACAACACAACAACAACAAAATGTCTGTAAGTAAGCAGGGGAATGAAAATCTTAAGATTCCAACAGGAAATCTTGACAATCTGACAAAGAATGTAAAAGATAGTCATAAAAAGTCGATAAGCATATGGAAAAACATTTCTATTAATCAAGAAATACAAAGTGTTACAGTTTGTCTATGAAATTAACAAAAACATCACATGTTCTAGTTTGAAGATACCATGGATCATCCTTTTTCTAGGTCAATCACAGTGTAGATACTTTGACCTAGAAATCTCACTGTTATGGAGCCTATCTAAGTGCAGACTTAAATATATCAAAAATATTTATTATGATGCTTACCAGTAGGTTAATTATTATAAGAATCAATCTTATAGTGCATCTCAATTACAATTTTGTTGTATGTTAAGCTATTAAGATGCTATTTTGTATAATGTTTTCAAATAATATTTAATGACACAGATGCACTCATGGTATAACTTTAACAATAAAATACTCTATACTATAATCCAACATTCATTTAAGTATTCATAAATAAATGCATATTCAGGGTAATATAAAACTCATTTTTAAGTATATAGAGTATACAGAGTTTGGAAGAAAATATATTTAGTTAATTGCAGTCATGTCTCAGAGATAAGATTTTCAATAATACTTAAATTTTAATTGGTGCTTCTATAATTCCCAAATTTCTTTGTTGAATATAGATAACTTTTTATAATTAGACAACCAATCGCTTTTCAAAAGTACAAAGAGATGTTTGTGGAGTCAAGAAAAAAGCTCAATGAAATTAGCTTATGACATGCAAGTGTTGATTGTTAATTACAGAAACAAAAGAGAATGAATTGGTTAACCATAACCAATTTCAAAATGCTACTGGCTTCTAAAGTGCCAAAAAAAAAAAAAAATCTATTACATAATTTTTCTGTGTTTTACTGAGTGGTATAAATCTTTCACATTTTACATTTTGCGACAAAGAAAAAAGTGTTTCAATTCCAAGTGCTGCTTGTGTTCATATGAGGTAAATAATAAGCTTTTGATATAAATTTTTAGAAATTTTAATCTACCATTTCTTTTTAAGATTTATTTATTTACTCATATGGAACTGGGATACAGGCCAGTGTTGCAATGTGGTGAGAGGATTCACCAAAGACAGAGGGGGGAGCAGAACAGACAGATAGACAAAGTATACTGCTGAGGGGAGCAGCGGGCTGGTCAGAAGAGGTCTGCTGTGTCATGCCATGTGGGTCACCTTCAGGGTAGGTGGGGATCTCATGCTGAAGTGGCTTTAGCTCCTTAGTGCTGTGCTTTAACACACTGCACCTCCAGGGAGGACCCAATCTACCCCTTTGCACATGACTGTATGTAAAGGGTTTGGTTTAGTTTAATTTGTGATTTTTTTACCCTTGGCTCTAAATATAAATCTAAGTTTTTGTTTTCTAGCACCTAGAATTATCTTAATATTTTTTAAGAGAAAAAGCTGAAGATGTAGAGTGCCTGGATTAAAAAAAAAAAAAATCAACGAAAGGAATAACTTGGAAAATCCAAGCTCCCTTGAGGAGCTACAACTGCAAGAGTCCTGGGGTTTCCATGTTACCAGTTGCGCTATTTACTGTGGTTTGAATCATATTCCTCCTCTCTTATCCCTACGCAAGTAACATAAGAGGGTGAAAATGAATCAAGGAGAAAAAAAAATTGGCTGTTTTCAAGACAACAAATAACAAACATCAAATTAACACTGCCCTTTTTGTTCCCTGACAAGCAAAACAGAAAGCAAACAAAAAAAAGTGCTGTTATAAGCACTCTGCCAAAAGAGGTCTTCAGTGTTGTCTACAGAGAGTTAGGGAGTCCAAGTTCAAGGAACAGTGAAGAACCATTTGGAGCATGTGACGGCCTGCTGGGACTAGGAGCTCTAAAATATGGCCAAAGGTTATGACCAAGGTCTTGCTAGCTACAACTGGCATTGCTGGAATCAGCAGGAACACACAGCTCTTCTTAAAATTGAAGGTATTTAAGCTCAAGATGAAGCTGAAGTCTATCCAGGTAAGAGATGTGTTGATGCATATAAAGCAAAGGATAGTAATGGGGGAATGGAAAATTTTGCTGATGCAAACAGTGGCACTCAAAATTCTGAAGCAACCTAAATGTTAGAATCATAACACATATAATCTGCATGACTCTGTAACCCTCAGGTTTTAAATTTATTGTAAAGTCAACAAATAGAAGTGCATTGTGTTAAAAAAAAAAAAAAAGGAAACTAACAATTGCAGCAATAGCATTTGTTTACTTCCATCCTGCCCCCTACCACCTCTCTCCACCACCATACACCCAAAATTGGCTTCCAGTGGTTTAAGATTCTTGGTTTGGCAGTCTCTTGTTTCTGTGTGAAACAATCACACACACACACACACAAACACTGCTCACAGCATACTGACAGTACAAATTAAGTGCTGATTATTGCTATTATTCTTTGAGCTGTAGCCATATTAATAGCATGTCCTTAACTTATCTTCTAGCAAAGGAGGCTCTTCATCAAAACTGTCAATGTAAGGAGATTGTGAGTAATAATCTGGGTTGGATGCTGGCTGAAGAAACTGTCCTGTGTAACATGTTGACATGAGCATCTCTGGTGGCACAAAAGAGGTAGACTGAGGCTGCTCACTGGTCTGTTGACTAGAAAAAGGAAAATATTGCTGTTAGACATCTAAGAAAAGACAATGACAAACTATCATTTTGTCTATATGGATTTTTCTAGTTTGTATGAGTAGTTACTCACGTAAGACAAAACTTGCTTACAGTTTCTTTAAATACAGCATTTTATTTCAGGTCAAATTCCCTCAATTTATTTATTAATTTTTAAAGTTCAATATGCATTGCTATTTATTCCTCTCATTCAGAGGGGATGATTTTGTTATTGTTTCGCTTCCTTGATAATATTTTGAGAACATAGGATTTCTCCCCTCAGGAATGATTACTACAACCACCACCAAAACACCCGTAGTCCTCCTTCACAGTCCATTTTGTTTTCCCCCACTCCTCATCCTCTTCAAGCTCCTTTCCTTCCCACCCATTGTCACCCCAACTTTGTTCCCTCTCCTTCCCATCCTTGATGCCTTAGATCTATGGTCAACTTTCTAGGTTGATTTTATAGTTTGTATTTGTCTAACCCTTGCTTGATTCCTCTACATTCTACATATAAGTTAGATCATTTAGTATTTATCTTTCTCCTTTCAGCTTACTTCACTTAGTATAAGCCTTTTTGGTGCTATCTCTGATGCTGCAAATAACATGTGATTTTTGATTGCTGAATATTACTCAATCGCAAACATATAATACATCTTTTTGATCCACTTGGCTATTTTGGGGTACTTAAGTTCTGCATTCAATTAAAAAATTTCTGCACAGTGAAAGAGACAGTAAAATGTCTCTCTGAAGACATTGAATGGAAGAAAAGATTTGTATACCATAAATCTGGCAAGGGACTGAGATTGAAGACCTATAAAGAGCGCCTAAATGAAAGTCTAGATTGTTAAGTCTTTGGGACTTTTTTGAGATGGTTAGGTCCCTTATTATTCATTTCAGAGTAAACAACTTGTTCTTTAAACATAAATATCTTTATTATATGATTAAGTAAGTTTAGTCAACAAAATTTCATGTCAGTATGCCATTGGTAAAAGCAAACTTTAAAAATGTGTTTCCATGTATCCACATTTATTTGGAGATGGGACAGGGTGGGGAGAGACAGAGGCAGAAAGAGAGTAATTCTCTAATTCCTGTGTCTTTTACCAGGATGATCAGTATCTCATTTTGACTTGATGTATATTTTAATTGAAACACTCACTCTATGAATAAAACATCAATTATCTGGAGTTTGTCTGAGGTACACTAGTAAATCATTGGCCTGACTGTTTTATGAACCTAATAAAATTACCACTGCTAATATGTCCTCTTCTAATTCCTGACTTGCAGTATGGGTTGGAATGTAAATGTTACCTCATCAGGAATTATATCTAAATGCTAACTATCTGAAGCAGGCTAAGAATAACATCACCAGTTTATAATTATTTGGTTTTATTAGTCTCTATCTCTTTGTCATCTTGACTTCTAGCAATGTTGATACATATAACGATGTATAAAGAAAACTGGTAAAATTAGGATGAGAGAAGAAACTGTGTGGTCTATGTCATTACTTAAGGAAGTTCAGTCTCTTTCTTAATGGATGGTTGAATTTAGTTTAGCCTGAAAATGTGGATTGCAAATGTAACCCAGGTACTTATCCCTGGAGAAGAGAGGGAAGAAAACATTTTTAAGTGACTGCTACCCTTCAGTAATATAGGTGAGCAGCTGAAAATACTGTTAGATAGCCCTCATTGTGGATTATATATTTTGTAACACAGTTCAACATTATCTTTAATGATCTAACTGTTAAGGGGAAGGATGTCCTAAAGGAATTCTGCAGAGTCTTATGGACTCCACCACCTACTCCAGCTTTCTGGACCCTACCCCCTACTCCAGTGATTAGAAACTACAACTCCCAGCAGTACCAAGGAGAGAACTTTGAGGATCCAAGGGCGGAGCTAGCAGGAATTCTTGGACATTTGGGGCATAAATAGGGCACTATTGCATCTCTCGCTCTCTTGCTTGGGGAACAGCTCTCCGGACCACGCGACTCGGTGTGTTCAGTCAGCCTATCCGTAAGGTATTCCAGTTACTTTGTATCCCACACTCTTTCCCTGGGTTGTTTCCTATTCCTTTCCCCTTTTGTAAATAAACCCATTATTGACCCTTTTGTGTGTACCTGCAGTATAACAATTGTGAGTGTGCAGGTGAGACCCCACAGACAGGCGGCCCAGTACACTCTGGGCTACCCTGTAACAAAACGAGAACCTCAAACACTTTTTTTGTTTGCTCTTGACCTTCCAAAGTGTAAATTGCAGCATAAATAAAATCAAGGTCTTTTTCTATTCTTGGATAATGTGACAATAAGCCAATTATAAAGTGTTATCCTTACCCATCAGTTTTTTCTATTTTCAAAAACATTTCTATTTGCCTAGTTGTAATGTGATAAATGATTAATAGAGAGATGAAACAGTCAAGTATATGATAGAGGAAGGTAAAGATTGTTTTTCATAAATTCTTATGACAGCTTTACTGATACTGAACAACATAAAATAAGTGCATGAGTGAAATATGATTCTAGGTATTTACTTTATTAGTTTTAAAAGCATTAGATACCAATACATTTCCCTACCACCTTGGAGCAGTGGCCCAGCAAGAGAAACAAGAGGACAGTTTATGAAAGCAGCATTTATCTATCTGTCAGTCGGATCATTCTGATCTGACTGTCAGTCTGAACAACAGTGTCCAAACTGCCTTGAGAACAGTTGGAACAAAGAACCAACTTTGTCTTTTTCTACTTCTGTTCAAAAATTTCAAGATACTTATCTGAACTTTAAAAAGTAAACTTCAAACATTTTGTGAAATATGCTTGTCTTCATTTCATTTAGGAGTTTTCACTTTGTGCAATTAATTGCCCATTTTTTCTAACATTTCTTAAATTTTGTGAGGAAAAATATTATGGATCGCACCTTTATCTTGAGGTTTGAGGGTCCCTCTTAATTTCTGACACTTAACAAGCAATCAATAAGTGTTTACTAAATTAAATAAAATCTGTCTTTAGAGCAGTGTCTTAGAAAAATCAGGTAAAAAATGCTTTGTATCTGAATTTAGGCTACTGTTAAGTGATCTTTTGAAAAGAGATTAACTTTACCCATAAGTGGGTCTGAGGTGACAAAGTTATTTATGGAGACCTGGAATAATTTCTCTGCTCTTTTAATGAGATTTTGTTGTTGGGCACTTAATTTAGATATGCTCTGGGGAGCTTTAGTTTCCCGTAAGGAAATTTCTGCAACTAGAAACCCCTTTGTCCTAACTTTATGACTTAAATAACAGCACATTTTCCCAATGTAAAGTACTTACAGTCTGGATCCATAAAGACTTCCATAGACGTTAGGATCATCATGGCTTTGCTCCTGATTATCAATGGTGTAATTAGACTGGTAAAAATCAGAGTCAAATTGTCCCAAGTTCGACATCCTGAAAAAAAAAGTGTTTTTTAAAAAAAAGAACTTTATGAGTCCATAAAACTTCTTTTGTGATATTTACAAAGGTGAAGTGATATGATTATAGATGTATTCCTACCAGAGAATGAGAGATTTTCTTTGGATGAGTTAGGTACTGAAAGTAGCGTATGCAAATGTATTCTAGAAAGTCAGTTTTAAAATATGTGCATTGTCACTTAGCTTTTCTGAAGTTTTCACTCAGGAGGAATTTTGACTTTACTAAGTTGATTTTAACTGATCTGACAGTACTAACGTTTTTCTTCAAATATCTTATTCTCAGCAGCTTAATTTGAAAACTTGGTACACATATTGAAAGATTTTCCTTTGATCAGTATCAGTTCCCCATTTTAAGCTAGGGTGTGTGCAAATGCGTATACTCTTGTTGCAAAGCCAGAAAGCAAAAAGCTTCTGATGATAAAAGCACCCTACCACCCTATGTGCCAACTTCCTAGTTCTAATTTCCATTTCTTAAAAGGCATTTGAAACATTTCTTTTTCTCTTGCTCTGCCTGCTCTAGCTGGGCTTCTGGCTGAGTCCTAGAAAGAAAGGCTCAATTTTGCCAGTGGGACAGTCTTTCTTTTTGCAGTCTTTCTTTTTGTACTCTCTCTACACAATTTCCACTTACTCCTGGGAGAGAAGAGAAGTGTATGACCTTGACTTAAATCTAATGGTTAAAACATCAGAGGGAAAAAGAAAATTTGATGGCAGAAAAATGAAGTGAAAGAAGATGATAGCTAGTTAATAGTAATTCTACAGATAAGGATTAGAAAACAGAGTAGGATATCTTTTCAATTGGAGAAATATGATTACTCAGCTCAACATTCTAATTTATGGTTCAACAATTTTTATTTCAGAAGAGTGTATTTAAGAATTACTAGGAGTAATCCATATAATGATGATAGTTTATTGAATAATTCTTGTAATAATTTTCAAATAAAATCACACAGCCTTAGTACTAAGAACCTCCTTAATCAGAAACAGTCAAGTAGCAATTGTCAAATACATCAATTATCTCAGTTCAGTAAAAATACAGAAATATTTCTAAAATTAGATACAACAATTTATACATCTGATCTAATAAATTAATATTTTTCATTAGTGGTATGTATAAAATTAGTTATGAATTATATGAACTAAAATCAGGACCAGGTTTGTGTTCAATCTTTTAACAATTTATAATTTAAAGAACTTAAAATGTAATAGTATTAACTTTCTCATTTCTAGAAAATATGTTATTATAAAACAAAGAATAATTTCATTTCATAACATACTAAACTTTAATTTAAAAAACTTTGCTATATAACTGTTACTAATATAGCCCTTATATAGCCCAATTGCTTCACATTTTATGTAGATTCCAAACTTTACAGAAGAATCAGATACATACCTCTATATATTATGTTGAAAAATCTTCTGACAAGTATAATTTTGGTTGAGAAATTTATAACAAATCAGCTGATGGAAAGATGACCTGGCTCTATATATGTGTGTCTAAATTTATACTCTGACACTCTAAACAGATACTGTAGCCAAAGGTGGGGGGAAGGGAATAAGGAAGAAGTCACTAAAAGCTAATATATTATCTATGACACTTGCTAAAACTTATAGTGAACTTGGAATTTCATATAGTGGAATGATAGATTTAGTTTCTTTGTGTGCACGTCTCATTAAGACCACTTACTTGAGGCAACAGAAAGTAAGGGGCTTTAAAATTCCCAACTGTTTCAGTCTATAAGAACATACTCAACTTAGAAAATATTTTTTAATAGTGAGTGAAAATTAGTAAATATGATGAACTGTCTTCAGATGACAATTTTAGCAACAGTCTGCAAATGGGCTGCTGTCAATTTTATCCAATTGTGAAATATTCAATTAATAAACAGTATTAGACATCGGCAAACTTTGATCTTTCCCATTACTTATTTTTCCATCAGAGAACCTAATGTGATTTAGTGCTTCATACAAGCAGGGAAAATTCTGTCTCATTTTCCAGTCAGTCCTGAGCACTGGAAGGCATCAGCTCATTTCCAACCTAGGAATTTACCTGAGTAAGCGCCTTCTACATCTTTGGGTAACTTCAGGAAAATTCTTGCTAGTTTATCCAAGTAATCTGGCTAATATTCCCAATTCCTATTTGAATGTGGTATATTTGTCCCTAAAAGCATTTTCATGGCTTAAGATGACAATGACAATTTCTTGTGATGACTTTTCTGTTTCATGCCAATTCTCCTTTCTAGGATTTGAGACTTCAAGTGTATTCAGATCTCAGTGACTGAAGTCTGCAGTTCTAGGGTAGATTATGTGACCTTAAGAACTTTCAAATAGAGTCAATAGTAAAACAATTCTTTCCTCATTAAAAAAAAAAAAAAAACCCTGGAATTTGAATTTCTGTAATGGGGAGTCCTTTCCACGATATTAACTAATACTACTGACAGGTACAAGACTGTGTTATAGATGTTATAATTACAAAAGAGGACACACTAAACATATGTGCAATTCAAGAGATATATGTTAGTGTTGATTCTATTATATCTACAACAAATAATGACTAGCAAGGAATTATTCTATGAACTTTAGGTTAAGTCACTTAACTTTTGCAACTGCCCCTTGAAGTTTTATTCCATTTTACTTAAAAAAGAGAGACCATAATTTTTTTTAAAATTTTTTATGCATACAGTACTTGGGTATAGGCCAGAGGTGAGAGCATTCACCAGCGACAAACAGGGGAGCAGAACAGGCAGATCTACTGAAATACACTGCTAAGGGGAGTAGCGAGGAGACAGGAGAGGTGTCACATATGGGTTAGCTCTCTGGCTGAAGGATGAAATTTTGGCCATAAGTAGCAGTGATAGGGATGAGACTTAATCCCTAGGTCACAAGAGAAGCCCCACACTCTTTCCTCTGACATTAAAAATTCAGTGAAAAGTTTATCAAAAAAATATAAATATTTTATATATTTAGTTAAAATATAAAACTTATTTCATGACTTTGAACTTTTTAACTTAAGTTTCCTTCATAAAAACCAATTCGATTAAATGAAGTACAGCAATATGTAGACTGAAAATGACATATAAAAATACAATTAATCTAAGCCTCAAGTGAATTATAAAGCATGAAGCACTTAAGATAGAATGATTTCATTTTCCTGACAAAAGCATTAATAGATCAAAAAATACGTATGGCAGTACATGGAAGCTACTTTTATACATGCAATGTTGTATCAGACACACCATAGTGAGCAGGCTACATAATGCAGGATGCTTCTGAACAGCAAGATTCTGGTCTTTTTATTGGTAGAATAATCATACAGCATCAGTTGTAAGGGTAAGGAGGAGGAGGAAAAAGGAAAAGAAGTAAACTAGAAAATGTGCTGTCATCTGTAGTATCAGGGGTTGTTAAGTCTGCCCTTCAGGTACTTCTCATCTTCTTGAAGACTCAGCATTGCAATTAAGATCAAGCCCTAGTTCCCCAGTCAGGGTTTCAATGTTATCAACTAATTATTTCACTGATCAGCTTCTGGAGTCCTTTGTCATATATGGCCCTCAGCAATCTCCCCCACCCCATCCCAACCCCCTGCCCCGGGTTTCCTGATCATACCTCCTGATGCGCACCTTTCCCAGAGTGATCAAAGCTAAATGACCTTAAAAGGTCCATATATTATATATATTTCCATTTGCTATACAGAGCATCACATTCTATTCACAAAGAGAGGAGGCCAAGAGTATCAGACTGAAATGGACTTTATTGAAAGTCCGTGAGATGTCGACTCTCAGCAAGCCGAGAGTCGTGCTCCCCATGTGTCTTTATAGAGTTGGGCTACTACTGGAATTTTTGGTGTGAGGGGATCTCTCCTGCTGAAGAGGTGGAGTTGTCAGCTTTATCTCTGATTCAGCTTATCTCAGGTTCCCTGTTTCTCCTTGTGCAGGTTATGAGGGTCCTCTGTGTGCTCCCTTTAAGGACCACTTTTTTCTGTTTTCCTTTCCTTTTCTTCTTGCACCCCTCCCCTCTCTTTTCCTCTACTCTTCCCTTCTTTTTCTCTGTTCTCTCACTAAACTCTGCCAAATGATCTCATCAACTCCCTTGGCTTTATATACCACATACATAATTTCTAAGGTCACATATGAATCCTTCATTTTTCTTTTCAGCTCTAGTCTGTTTAGAATCTCACAATGATGAATATTTCAAACTTAATATAATCCAAACTAAAAAAATCTGTACCCTCCCCAACCCAATGCTCATTCTCCAATTCAATAAATGACTCATTTATATCATAAATAATCTAACCTGTCAACAAAGTCTATTAATTCTAATGTCACCTTTTGAGTTTGGGGTCCTTGGTTCACTCTGGAAAAGGTTTCATTCACCATAGCTCCCTTTTCAACAGAACGTGGTGAGGTTCTCCACAAGGCAGAGACTCGGTTTTATTTAAAGAGTAAGTTTATTAGAAAGAGACAGGAGGGAAAAAGACACTTGCATAGACACAAGTAGGCAGAAAGAGTAGCCCTGAAAGGGACAGGTTTGCAGGGTAAAGAGACCTGCATGGTTGCAAGCGGGCAATGTCTTAGGAGAGTGGTCTCCCCTGAGGTCAGTGCAGAGAAGTCCCGGCATAGTACAGGTTATGGGCAGGCAGGATGCTGCTGCCTTGCAGAGGGAAGAAACACCTGCATAGGCACAGGTGGGCAGAGGAATGGCTGCCCCCATGCTGGTGGAGAGACTGCCCTGATATAGAGGGCCTCTCCTTGAGAGGGGCTCACTCCCTGTAAGCCTAGGTTTGTTGACTTTGAATAGAATCTGAGATTCCTGATAGGCGTCATCTCCAGGTCCTTATCTTTCACCTTTTGGATTTGTGCTTCAGTCACAGCCCCCAGCAGTCAGTTATCTGCTGGGAAAGACTGCAGATATTCAGGCATCCCAGGCACTGGCTGACCTTGATTTTGTGGTTGTGTCAATTGCTGCACTAGCCCCTTCTACCC